AGACGCTGATTACCACTGAAATGTCGGTAAATTTCTATGATATCACACGGCAGAACTTCACGGGAGACATAACAATGCTCAACAGAAATGCAAACGCCCATCTGTTTAAGATCAGACTCCACGTCTTCGATCCACCGGCGTTTCGGTCTTCCTTTCTTTAATTTGCCAGGAGGTTTACTATTGATTATCATCTTACATCCTCTATCATCACTCATTCGGATTATATGTCCAAGCAATTCTACCCTTCTTGCCTTTATTACAGCTACAATATCTTTTGAACAGCTTCTCCAGCTCGATATTCATTCTAATTCTCCATAAGCCACTGTCACATATTGGACCAAAAATCTGCCTTAAAATTTTCCTTTCCCAGGACATAAGCATTCTTTCAGCTAGAGATGTTAAAGTCCAGCATTCAGATCCATACAATACTAGAAAGAAGTCACAGAGTTTTAGCAGAGTACTTACGTCACTACGTAAACGAAGGCCAAAGTAATTGGGATGAGTGGGTACCTTATGCCATGTATCTTTATAATACCACGGTACATGCTGCTACAGGATACACACCATTCGAGCTAGTGTACGGTTTTCAGTCGACATTACCCTCGACATTACAAGAAACACCGAGTACGCAATACAATCACGATGATTACGTCATAGAACTACGAAGCAGGTTACAAACTGCACACGACGTAGCAAAACAAAAATTGATAAAAGCTAAGGAAAAGAGTAAGGAGTATTTCGAAAAAAAATCAAAAGAATTTCAGTTAAACATATGGGATAAAGTTTTACTTTACGATGAGACTATACGAAGGGGTAGGTCACGTAAATTCAGCAATCAGTGGAGGTCGTTGACATAGATAAAGTTAATGCCACGATAAAGAGAGGACGAAGGATACAGAAGGTAAACATAAACAGAGTAAAACCATTCTATTAGCTCAAAAGAAGCAAGTAAATCAGAAATACAACAAAGTGAAATGTTGTCTAACTCTCTTTTCAGAAAAGATGATCAAATTCGCGGTAATACTGCTATGGATAACAATGATTTGAGGGTTCAGCAACGACCATGGGAGAAATAGGATACACGGTGGAAAAATATGACGAATCCCCAGGAATATACTATGAAAATAAGGGTCAGGTAAATTTATACAACACGGAATGGAGGACCGTGGTATGTGTGAATTTAAATAAAATAAGTAATCAATCTAATGGAATAGACCAATACATAAAAAATGTAAACATATTATGTCAGAAGATAGACATCCAAAATTGAACAGACTGCTATCATTTTCGTTAAATTGCTAAAGATAAGTTATTGCAGGTTAAGAAAAGTGAAGATCTATTATTAGAAATTACTGATCACAAGACAGAAAAATCGCGAAGGAGAAGGGGTATATTCTATTTCATTGGAGAAATTAGCAAAATTTTATTCGGTACTATGGACAATGACGATGCTCAATATTATAATGAACAAATAAAACATTTTGAAGAAAATTCCGATGATATGACCAAACTATTAAAACAGCAACTATATGTGGTTAAGTCATCACTAGGAGCTATCAATAACACCCTTGCAGATATAGAGTATAACGAAGAAAGGTCAAAAATAGGTTAACCGAAATAAAGAACTATATAGAATCAGTGACTACTGAAAATCGAGAGAAGATAAGTATTATGGCAGCAAAGGTCACAGTAGAGGGTCACATTGCTAGAGTTAATGAAGCAAGTAATGAATTACAACGACACCTGAATATCTTGCTCCAAAGTGTTACAAATGCGCGAAAAGGGATTTTACAACCGCAAGTTATATCTCCAAAGATGATAATGAATACCTTGATTCAGAGCATGCCATCCTTTCCTAAAGATACCACTTCACCCTTTCCGCTGAGCAAGAACTCTATTAATTTAATTTATAAATTTTGTGACATTCATGTATATGTAAATGAAGGTAAATTAGGTTATGTAATCACCTTACCTTTAATTAACAGAGGTTCATTCAAGGTCTTTAGAATGATACCAATAACGATAACTTTAGGTAAAAACAAATTTGCATATATTGATACAGATGAATCAGATTTATGTTTAGACCAAACAAGACAATATTATTTTGGAATTAATGATAAGGAATTTGATGAATGGAAGAATGTGGATTCGAATACAAGGATATATAAACAGAAACACCCATTATTATCAAGCCATTTACAGGAATCATGTGCAGTTAAACTACTGCAACGTAGAAGAGAAATTCCAAATAGCTGTGATACCAGATTGGTACAGGTCAAGAATACTCTATGAACACAGCTTGATAATAATGAATGAATATATTTTGCTCCTACTGCTGAGAGTGTAACAGTGTTATGCCAGGGTAAGGAACCCGCAGACGTTATACTCACAGGGGTGGGAAAATTAGGCATATATTCAGGATGTAAAAGATACAGTATGTATGCACTTTTGCAAATGAGTTCTAAAGTAAAGGTAAATATTTTAAAGCAAGAAGATATGCTTTCTCAAGTACCAATAGATTTTGATTGTTTTGAAGAACTATGAATTAAGTTTAATACAAGTAATTCACCAATTAATATTGAATTTAAACGTGTATCATCGCACTTAGACCATTTGAAACATGCAAGTTTTAAAATATCAGAATTAGAAAAAGAAATTAAGGAACAAGAATCGAAAAATCATCACTTAATCACACACTCAAAGTATTTTGTAATAGTGTATATTTTGTTGAGTACAATTGTTATTTATGTGACATAGAGGATATATAAATGTGTAAGATTTGGGTGTAAAATGTACAAGTCCTTAAGGCATTGACAGCACCTCTAAGAGAAGTCCAAACGTCTACAGAAACTAGTGGTAGCGGTAATACTGTAAACATAAATATAAAAACTAGTAATGTAAGTTTGTCCTTAAGACAGGAAGAAATTCCGCTACGTGATTCACATCAATCACTGCATGAAGAAACTACACCTCGAAGGTCCCTCAGAGCTCGAGCAGCAAAGTCATATATTTAGGCCCAATTAAGGTGTAAATTTGACCTTAGTTTGAAGGGGGAGGTGTTGCATATTCACGCATATTAGTTAATAGGATTATTGTAGGTAATATAATATTGTTATATCAGGTAGTATGATATTAGTTGCTAGTGTAGCATATGAATATTAAGTCTTGTATGTGAACACTGTTAACAAATTCTGTAACTCGGACTTTCACAGATGTTATCCTCGTTTGATAATTGGGTTGTATTTCAAGCGAACGGTGACTCTGTTACATTTTGACACTGTCACCCCACAAATGTACCATTTCAAAATAATTAAAAAGCATCAGCCAAAGTCCGGGAGTGAGGCAAGTGTCAGAGGACAAACTCACAAATACTTTAGAACATTCTAGAACAGGGGTAACAACCCGCGGCCCGTGGGCCGCATGTGGCCCTTAAACTTAAGTTTAAAGAAGCCATTTGTATAATCTGTTGTTTATATACAGTACTTACCGTGGCATGCAGACTTACTGGATAATACAAGTTCACACAACAGGCTTCTTCACTCTTAAGTAGAGAACCTAAAGAAGGCCCAAATGCGCTGAAAGATACAGCGTAGATAAAATAAAATAAAAATTATGCAGACAAAACTATAGTGGGTCATTCCGAAACACAATTCGCTTTGTCATAAACCTGTCATTTTACAGAGTTACACAACTAACAATTCACATTAAAATTATCATATTCAGAACTAAATACCTTATGTCGTTCCCAGAATTGGATCAACCCAGGGAAGCACGCGAAGACAAGTTATCTAAGTTCTACAGAAATGCATGAAAGTCTATTATATTAAAACGGACCTCAAACGAGCAGTAAGGTCTATGTGCTACGTCCAACTGGCTTATTGTATGCTCCGATGGTGACACTAGTGAATACGATAATGGATATTATAGTTGCATAACAGGCGGGAATTTTGTTGAATAACTACGAGATTTTTTTTTTTTAGTGTTCTGTCTGACGACAGGTCCGTATGAACAGGATCCTTCCATCCTTTTCACGGATTGGGACCTGTTCATATACGTTCTTGGCAGATGATCCAGAAGTGGTTTGCCATTGCCTTCTTCTGTGTGTGTGAATGGAGTAATTGTTGGGATGCCACGGAGAAACCGGGGAAGCCCCCGGAGGAAAACTCCGTGTTGCCTAGACCACGGCCTTGCCCAACACAACTTATAAATGTTGGGCAAGGCCGTGGTCTAGGCAAGAGTAGTATAAAACGCTTTTGACCTGTTACAAGTTTAGTCATGACAACGGTACTTTGTTCGGCCAGAGTCGGCCACTGCTAAAGCCTTAAGCAGCAACCTGTTGTATTTATTACTATTTATTAGTAATAAAGCATTTTGTACACGTCTACTCTCAGCAGCTCTTATTCCTTTCGGCGACAAATAACCAATCACCACAATCCGCTCGACCAACGTTATCGAACCCACACAGTACTTTACACGGTTTTCCCGTGTCTGGTACACAACAGTGCAACAAACTACTTTCTGCTTCGTTATTACACCAATGTCCCCATTGTACTAACTGTGCCAACGGCGATTAAAGACTATATCTACCACACAACCTGCGGTCCACATCACAAATTTCTTTACCTGTCATTTCGTTATCATCATTTAATCTTGAGCTATAATCTGTGGATTACATTGTAAGAAAAATAGATACTTACAACTATGGCCACCAGATCACAGCACCTCAATCGCTTACAATATTCTTATTTATTCCTACTATGTATTTATTTCCTGACTTTCCTCATATGTCATTTTGTTATCACCGCTTGTACGATATTCTAAAATATGATTTGTTCTATTATGGTCACGTTCATTTGAACACAGCGACAATGTCAGCTAATCACTGAGGCAAGCTCCAACTCGTATTGTTGTTGTTTGTTGTTTCTCGTCACTACAACTCGTATTGTTGGTCTTGCACATTGTTGATAATATGGCCTGTTGCTAGGCGTAATAAATGAACAACAAAGATTTGTTATCATAAGAATTTGTTTTTTGAAAAGAACTGAGGCATAAACATGCAAAGTCTACATTATTAAAAAATAATTTCCAGTAGAATGTATTTTACTGTGTAAAAACAAGAAAGTACAGCTGTTGACATTCAATATCACCATACGGAACGTGATCCTCAACTGGGTATTTGCGATAACACATCTCCAGTTGACCAAGGAAGCAACCCATCTGGTTCTGTTAATAGAGAAGGACACACAACAAAATCTTCTGGAAAGAGACAAATGGAATATTTTCAAGGTAAAGTAAATTTACAATTGCTTATTGATGAAAATTCTTTGTATTCAATCAGAATTAGATCAGGTACTTGAACTCAATTTGATGTTCATATTATCAACCAAATATAACAACAATCTATAAAACTTGTAAGTTCAGTCCACTTACTCGTTCTTAAAAGAAAGATGCACCAAATTTGTAACAGAATCTGGTCATGATCTTTAACTGGTTATATTAAGGTAATTAACGTGGTACCTCAAGAACATACTTTTTGCTAGTACCAAATGCCAAAGACAAATGAAATCAAGGCATGTCATATACATTTTTTTATCCAATACAGTAGACAAGGCCCAAAAATATGCCCTTAATAATTCTCAGTACTGATACAAAGTTCTTTGTCTTTTAGGAATGAAGCAGAAGTTCCTTGCATATATAAATACTAACAACGAAGGACTTATTTTTAATCGCAAAGAATTCATCATATACATAATCTTCCTTGTGTTGGTGATGATAGGTAAGTAAATTTTGAATTACATGGTATTAGCAATACCAATAGAGTTTCCAAGAGTACAGTTGTCTAATTGATGCTCAGACAGGATACTACATACAAGAGGGTATAAGAAAATGGAGTACTTGTACTATCTACATAGCCATGTCCTATTTTCATATTTATGTTGTTATGTACAAATAGGATCATTTACCCATCTCATTATGTAACATTGGCACCTTGTGAATGCTGCTTTACCAGAATATGAATTTAACAGGAAAGGAAAACTGTAGTCCAATTTGGAATACAAACAAACTCTCTGTGATTTGGATTGTTCATTTAATCAAGATACATGTCAACTCTTCCCATTACTGGGTTAAGCTACAAATAGCTAGATATCAACTCTTGTTTAGCTAAACAGTGGTACAAATACTACATGTTACAGAATCATAAATTCCATTGTTTATGAAGCTAATCAACAGTGCAGATGTAGTAAATCTATAGGCAATACAATTTTTTTTCTATTTATATATAAGGCAAATAATTTCCTTAATGAAAGTTATAAATCTTCAAGAGTTCCTTATTTTCCACCAGTTTCTATAAGCCTTTTTTGAGAAATGTGATTTCCTGGTAAACATTTCGTCAAGCTATCTGCTGTATTAGCCACAGCCCTGAATTATGAAAAAAGATTCAGTGCATGTATTCCAAATGAAAAAGTGAGAAAGTTATAGTTTTACTTAAACTTAGATAAAAGTATGTAATTGTTTAAATAACACACTTTTCTTAATTCATTTTATCATCTCCTGTGATAGTAAGTTCTACCCATTGCAGTTATTTATATATCTTGAAAATATCACTTTGTTTTTTCAGGAACATACGTGAAGACAGACAACATGAACTATTGGTTCACAAAACATGCAGATGATTTGATTGCAAAAAAACAGTTTGAAGATGGTATTAGAGAAACAAACTTCAAAGACTTATCACACATAAGTCATTTCTGGAAGGTATGCATTTAAGATAAATATATGGTTGGGACATACATAAATGCTATAATGTAGAGATAATGAAGTAATTTAAGAAACTCATTTGCTTCCTGGTAATTAACTGATAGCACCTCCCTATACAAAAATAAAAACAAAATTTTGTATGGTTAAAGTCTGATGAGAAATGTCATATCTAACAATAATTAACCTTTCAGTTAGAAACTCTGAACCTTACAGACTGAATTTATCTGGTGTTAAGATTAGTATAAGAAAGTCACTATTTCTATAACAATATAAATCATATGTTCACATAAAAATACACTCACAAAAGAAGTTTTTCTTTATTAAAATGAAAGATCTCCACAAAGCATATCAATGGGTTGTCAGTTACCACCACCAAATGTTGTTCCATTCCATTATGTTTAGCTCTCTTTGAATAATGAGAAGAAAAAATGTTCTGAACAGCTGGAACCACTCAAATGGAGACATTATGAGGACCGTGCTATTTATTTTGTTATATAAACGAGAAAAGTAATGAAAATACTCAGTGGGCACCTGACCATAACAGCAGACCACACTAATGCTAAAGGCACAGAATTTAACCACTAAACGATATAAACTCTTCTAGGATGTGTGCTTCGGTAAAACTCAAAAATATATAAGAAAATCACTGAAGAATCAAGGAGCCTTTGTGGCAAGAAATATTTATGAAGATCATACAGTCATCCTAATAGAGTTTACTGACATTGTTTTTGTGGATTATAAATCAACATGGCAGTGACAAAACCATGTTATATGATGTGATGTCTGTGTATTATAACAAAACTGATTTCTCAGCTGTTCCATTTTAAATAAAGGCACATAAGGTTTCCTGATATTTGTTAATTTCATATGAATCTCTACCAACATATGAAACATCTTCATCCTAATTGCTACTATCTCTAAGATTTCACTGTGTACTTTTAGTGCACACATATGTGCAAAACATCTTGTTTCAGTGCTTTTACAATGAGAATTTTCTGGATCATATCAATCCACCTTTTCACTAGTAAATGGATAATAAAATTCCCTTTCTTTTAATCACGATTCACGGTCCACTTCCTGATTTCTGAAAGAAAATTGTCATAATTTCTCAATAAAATCTAGAGCGTCTAATTACACCATTTCCATTGCTCGTTATGATTTAAACTAACAAATTTTCACCCACAGAATCAAAAAACATAGCCACTATAGATGCTTTGTACATCCACATTCTGAACAAATTTGTACTCAATCAGCTCACAATCTGTTCCATTACTACCACACATTCCTAAAATGCATCCACACATGTACCAGAAGCATGTTGTCTTTTGTTGTAAAACATGTTAAAAAAAGTCAACTTCTGGAATATAAAAATGGCTGAAGCAACATGTCCTCATACGTAGAAAGCACACACATACAACACATCCACATAAAAACTAAACTTTTTAAATACATAGTTTCTAAATACAATCATCATACCATTATTATTATTATTATCCCATCTATTCACCACTTTATGGGGTATGTACTTCCATGTACCCGAGACAGACCTTGTCCCTAAGGTACATAGGGCAGCAGCTATTTCCGGGATACATTTTGTTTTTAATATGTATTACATATATTATATTATTTTATTTTACAACAGCGTCTTTCGAATGATGTATGAAGTTCCCAAAATGACAGTTTTCTGAAGTTCCCTGACGTCGTGTTCGCCCGGAATGTTTGCCAAATATTTCCTGAGTGACCTGGAGACAGTTCCTGTCGCTCCTATAACAATTGGGATTACTTTTGCTTGAACCTTCCACATTCTCTGTATTTCTATGAGAAGGTCCTTGTATTTCAAGATCTTCTCTGCTTCCTTCTTAATAACATTCCTGTCAGTCGGTATTGCTATGTCAATTAAGAGGAAAGTTCCGTTTTTGTTTCTGATTATAATATCTGGTTTATTTTTTGGGATGGTTCTATCTGTTCTGACTTGTTGGTTCCACAAAATAGTTATTTGGCTATCTTGACTTGTCTCCACTGTCTTCGGAATGTGTTCATACCAGTGCTTCTCTTCTAGCTTTACCCCAGGGTTCCTGCATATGTTAAAATGCAACTGAGTACAGACATGATCATGTCGTTGTATATTTTGCTCTTTTCTCAGCACGGGGCATCCGGACATAACGTGATCTATCGTTCGTCAAATTGCTGACATAATCTGTATTTGCTGTCTGTATCTGTTTTCAATATTTTTGTTACATAATATTTTGTGTTTAGTGCCTGGTCTTGTGCTGCTATAATCTGACTTTCAGTTTCCCCTTTCAGATCTCCCACTTGTTAGCCACAGAAACGTGTCTTCT